TCTTTCTTCACAAAAATGTGAAGAAAGACCGCCATGTGATGTGAGTATCAGTCACATGGAGGCAGGGCTTAAAAGCCTGAATTTAGCCTGAAACTCTCAGACTGAAGAAGTCTCTTGGAGGAGAGACGAAACGTTTCATTAGAGAAGAACCCGTCCAGAGGACCTATACTATTTTTTTTTATTTTAACATCAGTACTAATCTGTAAAAACTATAAATTTCTTCAGAAGTATTAATGGTAAGAGAACATTTACTGATCCTGCAGCACATTAATGATTACAGCAGCTGTCAGCAGGAAACAGCAGGTACAGGTTGTTCTGAGCCCAGACAGCATGCTGTCACCTCTCACACTACGATTGTTTGTACTTTAACTCAATACTTTTACTTTCAATATTTAAGTACATTTTATGTCAGGAATTTACTTTTGATACTTAAGTACAAAAAATATCAGATATTTTAATAATTTTATGCAAGTGATATTCTTAGAGGAGACTAACATTTACCAAAGTGCTTTTATGGTAAGCATCTTGTACTTGTACTCAAGTATCACTTTGTGGTACTTTAGACAATACTGCAAAGTCATACAGACTGAAGAAAAACATATAAAGTAAGAAAGAAAGTTTTCACAAAGTGTTTTCTTGTCCTGATGGTTAAAATGTTTTTAAATGTGTGTGTTTGTGTGTTTGCAGCTGAAGTGATGAAACTGGGCCATATTTGTTGAACTGGACTAATGTGGGTCAGTCTCCTGGTCTCCTGCACGTTCAGCCAAGTTGTTTACAAAGACGTTTTACTCACATTTCACAATTTCATGACAATATGTGTGGAAAACTGCTGGAGTAAACTGTTTATAGAAAAACCTTTAAATGCTTGATTTGAAACTTTATGAGTGGATTTGAGTTCTGGGACGACTGTGTCTGAGTTAGAGTTAGGACAGTTGTTCCTCTAATGCAGGGGGGTCCAAACATTTAGTCACATGGGCCAAAATCATAAAGGACCTGAGGGCCAAAAATATTTTCCTTTACCTGCTCAACAATAAATTAAACACTGAATACTTTAATTAAACAGATAAAGTAGTCAGATTTATTGCTGGAAATGGATGTAAATTAATCTAGATCCAGAACTTTAAAAGTGTTTTGCAGGTTTTACTTATTGAAAGAAATTTAGCAATTTTCTAGGTTTCAAGTGGGGGAAAAAAACCCAATTTAGTCAATTCTGATGAATAAAATCAGGATTTAGGTCAGGCTTTTGTTGAAAATGCAGCTGTGTTCAGATGAATTTAATAAATTAATCAAAAGCAGATTGGAGCACAGCAAAATCAGCTTTTAGAGTCTGGTTATTTAAAGACACATCATTGGTATTGTTGACAATATTTTTTACTATAAGATTTTACTTTGTGATAAATTTGCCCTAATATTAAATATAAATTTTCCATCAAACAGCTGTGCCGGGAGGACAAATTTGTAAACAAATTAGTAAAATTCTTGAACTGAAGTCAGGGGCACAAATGGCCCCCGGGCCACACATTGGACATTCCTGCTCTAATGCCAGAGTTGATGGTTTGATTCCACCTTTTGGTCACGTGTCAAAGTGTCCCTGGGCAAAACATTGACCTGATGTGTCCCATCAGTGTATAAAAAGTGATTTAAAGCCCTGATTAGTCTCCATTGTTTGATTTATCTGTACTAACTTTGTATAATACAGAACTGAACGGGTAAATGAGGACATAGATTATAGTATAAACAGTTTGGAGTATCCTGTTTGGATATAACTGTTTTATAATCTGATGAAACTACAGAGCACATTAAGCTTTAATGAGCAGAGTTAGAGCAACTTATAGTTAATACACAAAAAACAACTGAAGGGAACAGAGAGTTACTTTGGATCTTTTACTTTATCTAAAGTCAGATAAGAACATTTCAATATAAAGTTTGAAAACTCCTGGCTCAAGATTAAACAGTTTACAACCATGGGGGCAGGTAAAGCTGCCACCCACTCCTTCCACTGTCTCCAGTTTAAAAAAGCCAGTCTGATATGAGGTGCTGTTTGTAAAGTTACACAGTCAAAAATTACCACCAATATTTATGTTTTATTTAGTCTTTTATAAGAAAAAAGAACAAATCTATTTTTC